GGGTAATTAACTTTAAACAGTAGTGACTTGACACTTTTGTAATTGCACACACACACTTTTATAGGAGTTGGCCGGTAGCTGGTAGTCGTCACTTCATTCTGGGGAGGTTAGAACAAGTTGGGAATCATATGTGCAGGTGTACGAGATTTTTCAGTACAACGTTGATCACGAGAAAAATAAGAAAATAAACCCTAAAATTGGTATTTTTAGTGGCTTGTTTAGATTTTATGGTGCTCTGGCTTAAATTCAACAACTGATTAGTCAGTTAGCAATAGCTTACTGAGAGATATATCCATTAATTATCTGATTTCAGGGTCTCTCTTATATCTTTAATTCTTGAATCTGATTACTCATACCTAAGACATAATTACCTTATTCATAAAATGTGAACTTTTGGTATATTTAAAAAGAATTTTCATTAGTTGTAGGGGTATTTAATTGATTGTTTAATTAGCATAATTTATTTCTTAATTTAAGGTTAATTTTACTTGACATATTTAAAATATTTGGTTCATTTTGGGGTAATTAACTTTAAACAGTAGTGACTTGACACTTTTGTAATTGCACACACACACTTTTATAGGAGTTGGCCGGCAGCTGGTAGTCGTCACTTCATTCTGGGGAGGTTAGAACAAGTTGAGAATCATATGTGCAGGTGTACGAGATTTTTCAGTACAACGTTAATTACGAGAAAAATAAGAAAATAAACCCTAAAAATGGTATTTTTAGTGGATTGTTTGGATTTTATAGTGCTCTGGCTTAAATTCAACAACTGATTAGTCAGTTAGCAATAGCTTACTGAGATATATATCCATTAATTATCTAATTTCAGGGTCTCTCTTATATCTTTAATTCTTGAATCTGATTAGTCATACGTAAGACATAATTACCATATTCATAAAATGTGAACTATTGGTATACTTAGAAAGAATTTTCATTAGTTGTAGGGGTATTTAATTGATTGTTAAATTAGCATAATTTATTTCTTAATTTAAGGTTAATTTTACTTGACATATTTAAAATATTTGGTTCATTTTGGGGTAATTAACTTTAAACAGTAGTGACTTGACACTTTTGTAATTGCACACACACACTTTTATAGGAGTTGGCCGGTAGCTGGTAGTCGTCACTTCATTCTGGGGAGGTTAGAACAAGTTGGGAATCATATGTGCAGGTGTACGAGATTTTTCAGTACAACGTTGATCACGAGAAAAATAAGAAAATAAACCCTAAAATTGGTATTTTTAGTGGCTTGTTTAGATTTTATGGTGCTCTGGCTTAAATTCAACAACTGATTAGTCAGTTAGCAATAGCTTACTGAGAGATATATCCATTAATTATCTGATTTCAGGGTCTCTCTTATATCTTTAATTCTTGAATCTGATTAGTCATACGTAAGACATAATTGCCATATTCATAAAATGTGAACTATTGGTATACTTAGAAAGAATTTTCCTTAGTTGTAGGGGTATTTAATTGATTGTTTAATTAGCATAATTTATTTCTTAATTTAAGGTTAATTTTACTTGACATATTTAAAATATTTGGTTCATTTTGGGGTAATTAACTTTAAACAGTAGTGACTTGACACTTTTGTAATTGCACACACACACTTTTATAGGAGTTGGCCGGCAGCTGGTAGTCGTCACTTCATTCTGGGGAGGTTAGAACAAGTTGAGAATCATATGTGCAGGTGTACGAGATTTTTCAGTACAACGTTAATTACGAGAAAAATAAGAAAATAAACCCTAAAAATGGTATTTTTAGTGGATTGTTTGGATTTTATAGTGCTCTGGCTTAAATTCAACAACTGATTAGTCAGTTAGCAATAGCTTACTGAGATATATATCCATTAATTATCTAATTTCAGGGTCTCTCTTATATCTTTAATTCTTGAATCTGATTAGTCATACGTAAGACATAATTACCATATTCATAAAATGTGAACTATTGGTATACTTAGAAAGAATTTTCATTAGTTGTAGGGGTATTTAATTGATTGTTAAATTAGCATAATTTATTTCTTAATTTAAGGTTAATTTTACTTGACATATATAAATATTTGGTTCATTTTGGGGTAATTAACTTTAAACAGTAGTGACTTGACACTTTTGTAATTGCACACACACACTTTTATAGGAGTTGGCCGGTAGCTGGTAGTCGTCACTTCATTCTGGGGAGGATAGAACAAGTTGGGAATCATATGCGCAGGTGTACGAGATATTTCAGTACAAAGTTAATTACGAGCAAAATAAGAAAATTAACCCTAAAAATGATATTTTTAGTGGCTTGTTTAGATTTTATGGAGCTCAGGCTTAAACTTAACAACTGATTAGTTAGTTAGCAATAGCTTACTGAAAGATATATCCATTAATCATCTGATTTCAAAGTCTATCTTACATCTTTAATTCTTGAATCTGATTAGTCATATCTAAGACATAATTACCATATTCATAAAATGTGAACTATTAGAAAGAATTTTCATTAGTTGTAGGGGTATTTAATTGATTGTTTAATTAGCATAATTTATTTCTTAATTTAAGGTTAATTTTACTTCACATATTTAAAATGTCTGGTTCATTTTGGGGTAATTAACTTTAAACAGTAGTGACTTGACACTTTTGTAATTGCACACACACACTTTTATAGGAGTTGGCCGGCAGCTGGTAGTCGTCACTTCATTCTGGGGAGGTTAGAACAAGTTGGGAATCATATGTGCAGGTGTACGAGATTTTTCAGTACAACGTTAATTACGAGAAAAATAAGGAAATTAACCCTAAAAATGGTATTTTTAGTGGCTTGTTTAGATTTTATGGAGCTCTGGCTTAAACTTAACAACTGATTAGTTAGTTAGCAATAGCTTACTGAAAGATATATCCATTAATCATCTGATTTCAGGGTCTATCTTATATCTTTAATTCTTGAATCTGATTACTCATACCTAAGACATAATTACCTTATTCATAAAATGTGAACTTTTGGTATATTTAAAAAGAATTTTCATTAGTTGTAGGAGTATTTAATTGATTGTTTAAAAAAATAATTTAAGGTTAATTTTACTTGACATATTTAAAATATCTGGTTCATTTTGGGGTAATTAACTTTAAACAGTAGTGACTTGATACTTTTGTAATTGCACACACACACTTTTATAGGAGTTGGCCGGCAGCTGGTAGTCGTCACTTCATTCTGGGGAGGTTAGAACAAGTTGGGAATCATATGCGCAGGTGTACGAGATTTTTCAGTACAACGTTAATTACGAGAAAAATAAGGAAATTAACCCTAAAAATGGTATTTTTAGTGGCTTGTTTAGATTTTATGGAGCTCTGGCTTAAACTTAACAACTGATTAGTTAGTTAGCAATAGCTTACTGAAAGATATATCCATTAATCATCTGATTTTAGGGTCTATCTTATATCTTTAATTCTTGAATCCGATTACTCATACCTGAGACATAATTACCTTATTCATAAAATGTGAACTATTGGTATACTTAGAAAGAATTTAGTTGAAGGGGTATTTAATTGATTGTTTAATTAGCATAATTTATTTCTTAATTTAAGGTTAATTTTACTTGACATATTTAAAATATTTGGTTCATTTTGGGGTAATTAACTTTAAACAGTAGTGACTTGACACTTTTGTAATTGCACACACACACTTTTATAGGAGTTGGCCGGCAGCTGGTAGTCGTCACTTCATTCTGGGGAGGATAGAACAAGTTGGGAATCATATGCGCAGGTGTACGAGATGTTTCGGTAAATTAAATTTTGATCTTTTCTTGAGTTCTAGGGCGTTTATCTCAAAGGTGGTTTTTCCTAGATATAGTACTATATAGACTCTTTATCTGTGATCTATATCTTTTGATATCCATGGAATATAATGATATTTTTGGCTAGTGTAACCACACATAATGCTCTTGCACTCTTGATGTATCTGTATCTGTATCTGTATCGGTGCCGGTGTATGTATCCGCATCTACGACGGTGTGTTGGCAGGCTGGTTGCTCGCTTGCTTGTCTTGGCTTGGCTTGGTAAGCTATAAAACTCGTTTTTGCAAAAACAAAAAAAAACAAAAAAAAATGGAAAACTCAAGTCAAGTAGTCTTAGTCATTGCTGGCTTTGCCATACCTTTGCCGTTGTCTTGGAGCCTCTGTCTTGGCCCGCTTAAGCTGGCTAGCTGGCTGGCTTGTTGGCTGACTTGTTGGCTGGCTGACTGACGGCTTCAAGGCAAAAGTTCCTGACAAATATGGCAAAATTGTCGTAGGTGTCTCGTCTCGCTTTATTGGTCTGTTCGAGCATATCGACAACTACTTATTACATCTTGGTGTATATTGCACAGTCTTTTATATATAATATATATATTTATTGCGTGTGCTGTGACGCCTTTATGCAATACTTAATGCCTTTGCTGGAAGATCGGATACATCTATACACAGATGTATGAATATTTTTAGCTGTTTAATCGCGTCTGAAGGTGGTCTCGGTTGGACGACCGACCTATCAATCTTGACACTGGCATTGACCAGCTCTTCAGTTGCGGAGATCGCCGACCTTAATCGGTTCACCGAAAGAACCCACGAAATAAAAATAAAGAAAGAAAGAAAGTCGGGAATAGATTTGGAATATAGATTCAAAAGGTTCTCTTTTAAGTTCTTTCTATGTGTGGTGTTGTGTTGTGTTGTGGCTTTTGTATCTTTTTATCTGCGGTTCGTTTGAAGGCGAAATATTTGGCACGAAAGTCGTTGACACAAGTGAGGCGAGGCCACTTGTTGGAATGATGTGTGTGCTTTTGGCTCTAACGGTGCTTTCGAGTTGTTTATACTACATATATATTTTAAGAATATATATATCCTTTTATAACAATCTTTGGAACCTCTTAAGAGTCTCAAGATACTTTTTTCGAGGATGTGTAGACTTAAAAAACAAGCTTCCTGATATCTCTGTTTATATTCCTATTTTCCTTTGTAAATACTAATCTCTTTGTTTTTTTATGCTTAGCTCTCTTCCTTTTTTAGTGGATTCCCAACGAAATGAGCTCGGACCAGAGGCCATTTAGGGTCGGCATGCCCAGAGTAATGGCCGTGGGGCTCTTGATCCTCATCTGCTGTGGTCTGGTAGCAGGACAATCGAACTATGTGCAGCATGGAGATAGTGGTAATTACACCACAAACGGACTGCCCGAGGAGGCCACTCTGGATGGCAAGGTAAAAGGCTTAAGATCCCTTCCTCCTTGTACCCTTAATGAAGTGCTTTCCCCCTTTTATAGGTAACCAAATTGGATGACATTAGCCCATTGATATTCCTGAATCGAACCAAGGCTGCGCTGAACTGTGCCGCCGGATCCATGCAGGTGAGTGTTGGGTTAACCCCAGCTCCCTGCTCCTCAACTGAAGCTCTACTCTTCTTGTATCCCCTTCAGGTTGATCTCAAGTTCAACGATCCGTTCCATGGCATCATACAGGCTGACTATGATCGCAGCAGTGCCTGTCGTGTGAGCGGCAAGGGAGCCCTTAGCTACCGCCTCGAGCTGCCCCTGAAGGGATGTGGAACCATTCAGGTGCGTGGCAAGATCTTGTCTTGGTTTCGAATATATCCAACTCGATATCTCGAATTCTTTTGCAGAATCCCACCCGCGTGTTCACCAACAACATTATAGTGCGTTTCCATGCCAATCTAGAGATGGATGGCGATGAAATTATAACCATTGTCTGCCGTTATCCACCGCCGGTGCCCTCACTGCCACCAGCCCTGCCAGCTCCCATGTGGGTATCCTTATGGTTTCCTTTCCTAAACCTATATTAAATCCTATATTCGAATCTCCTTGAACAGTCTCAATCCCATTGCCACGGGCTCTGTGCTCCAGCCACCGCTGAAGAGCATCCAAATCCTGATGATCATCTGTGCCATTATGTTCCTCACTCTGCTGCTCCTGGGACTGGCCGTCTCCTACTACTGCCTGCGTAGCCGTCCTATACCCGTGGTGCGTCGCCTGCCCATGAGCATGGGCAGTGGCTCTGAGATCACCAAACTGAGTGGCAGCAGTGTGGGTAACATTAGTGTCTTTGAGGGCGTTAAGATACCGCGTGCCCATGCCGCTCTCCAGGCTGTCTACAGTTCCTCGGGCAGCGAGGGAGCTCTCATTCCATCCGATTATCCAAGCGAATCGCACTCTGAGATCGAGGAGATTGACACACGTTCACTGCCTTTCAGTTCGGCGGGTAGCTTCGAGAATCGTGCCTTCATCCAGGAGACTTCCAGCATCTATAGCGACCACTATGTTCCAGCCCAGGAGATGCCAGCGGCGGCTGCTGTTATGACCACATCCTCGCTCACCCGTCACGCCATACCCATTCAGGAGGCCGTGGCAGCCGGTTCGCCCAAGTTCGATGTCCAGGTGCGCGTCAAGAAGTCACCACCACCGCCGCCTTCGCCAGTAACCTCGGACACGGAAAGCGTGGCCACCCTGCGTCCTGACAGGAATAACCTATCGACCATAATGGAGGCCTACGAGGATCGTGAGAGTGTCATGACTATGGAATCCCTGCCGCCACATGTTGAGACAATCCACTCCCAGTTCACGTACGTGCCAGAGTTGCATCCGGCTCCGCAGGTACCACAAACGCTTCCATCGCCACCAATGGCCATTGCCGAGCCCAAGTTCTCTGTGTACACGCGCACGCATCAGGAGGTGGTTGATGGTCGTCCAGAGACATGGTCTGACTACACCGATGGCCCCGCACCCAGTGAGATCACTGACCTATCCTCCGAGGCTCCAGACATGACTGTGGACACGATGCACTATTACGAGGATGAGTATGTGCCGAATGTGCAGCTGCCGCCGCCAGTGACCTCGCACACCGTGGATGATGTCTACCTGCGCACGGTTACCGAGAAGAAGACCATCGAGGATATTGAGAGTCACAAGCGAAGTGTCACTGAGTATAAGAGCAAGCCGAGGGCACCACTACCACCGGCACCACCACCGCCGCCACCAGTGGATCCCAAGTTTGATGTGCGCGTGCGCAACTATCCCAATGAGCGGGAACAGCAGCAGTGGGAGAACTTCTCGGATATCTCCAGTGCCTCCGGTCTGACCCTTACGCCCAAGATGGAGCGCAGCGAATTGACCTTGCCGCTGGCCGAGCCACCGTCCCAGATCCATGACAATAAACTGAAGCTGACCAGTCCCGAGCTGGTGGGCAACATGAAGCCGATCGAGGTGCCGCCCCAGGACAAGGATGTGCCCAATTGGGATGTACTCATACGCATTCTGGAGGAGCCAGAGATGTCGGAGGCCGGAGATGATGTCAGTTCGGTGCGTAATCTGAGCTACGATGATCGTGCCAAGTGGAAGGAGATCATAACCACGCAGTCCTCGTTGCGCACCATGCTGACCGAGGCGGTGGTGCGGGAGGACTTCGAGCGGATTCGTCAGGATACGCGTTATGAGCGTATGTTTGAGCCCCAGACCTGGGACGTTATCATCCGTATCCTGGCACCACCCGGCGACGATGATCCGGATGTGGAAATGAGAATGCCACGACGCGGTGGCAAAAAGGCTCCTCCACAGCCCTGGGATACGCGTTCGCGTCGCAGCTCCCTGCCCACGCTCTACGAGTATGATAGCGATGGCGGCTCCAGTGTCCGTACCATTCGCAACGACCCCGGTATGCCGGGCTTCCCCTCATCGGCATCGGGAGGTGGCTTCAATGGCGGCCAGGGACCGTTCAATCTGCAGCGCTCTCGCCGCAGCTCACGCACCTCGTATCAGACCGACCACAACGACTTCCGCTCTATGTCCGAGGTGACCGTGGACTTTGGCCGACCGCAGCCGGATCACTCGGACAACATGAGCGATGCCAGCAGCTATTATCGGATGCAGTACTATGACGATGACGACCGTCGCTCCTTCCACCGCTCCCTGAGTCATCCTTCGCTGGCCCGCTCCGCCAGCGAGTTCACCGAGCACTGGACTGCTCCCGATCCCGACGAGATGGTGATCTCCTCACCCGAGGGAACACCCCGTGCACGACGAGGAGTTCGTCAAGTGAGTTGGATGAGGGAGTTGTAGAAGAGAGAAGGAAAAAGAGAGAAGAGAGAAGAAAAAAGAGAGAAGAGAGAAGAAGAGGGAACTGAAGTGGATAGAATAGTACAAGAAAGATCAATAGCAGAAGAGAGAGGTGGAAGAAAGTAGGGAGAAAGGAGTGAAGTTGTAGGAGAAATTAGTGAAAGAATTTAAACAGAGAGAGTAGTAGAGTAAAGAAGAGAGAACAGTAGAAGGGAGAAGAGTAGAAGAAAAAAGAGTAGTAGAAGAGAGTGGTTGAAGAAGCTTTAGAAGAGCGGAAGAAAGCATTAGAAGAGAACATTAATAGAATAGACTATTAGTAGTAAAAAATCATGGTAGACGAGAAGAGTAGTAGTAGAAGACAATAATCATACTAAAATAAGTGAAGAAAGTAGTACTAGAAGACTGTTGTAGTAAAAAAGAGTAGTAGTATTTTCCTCGATTGTAAAATTGGTTTACGCACTTAAGGTGTGATTTCTCTATCTATCCATCAACTACAAAATCAGATATTAATAACATCATATTTGAATTGATTTATACATTATATGAATTATCCAAAAATGGCACTATAGCTTTCAATTATTCCATTCCAGCCACTCCCACTGACGACTCACCAGGGCAGGACAGGTGAGCGTGTCCTGGCCCAGACACAGACGCAGAGCGAATATGTGGAGACCCATAGGAGTGTCTACCATGCTGGCAAGGATATGCCCTTGCCGCCACCACCACGCAAGTGGTAATGGTCGCACGATAAATGATCGAGAGAGAGAGAGTCACTTTAATTAACAAAAAAAAAAAAAAAAACAAACAAACAATCGACTAAAAACCACACGTTCCGGGAAGGGTATTAATTATGAAATTACAATATTGTAAAGAACGGACATCCAACAAGAAGTGGCAGGACGTAAGGCCAGCCCCTTGAGTGGATGTCCTTACAATATTATTATTTGCATTCACACGTAGGTCACAAAGGACTCTACATACTGACATATATACATATATATATATCTGCATACTTAAACACAAACAACAAAAAAAGTGCCAATTACAATTGCCTGACGACAAAGTTAGCCACATTAAAATAATAATTAATAGAAACTAAAATGTCCGTTTAATGGAGGATAACGTGACTTTTTAACTTTCGATTCGCTGCATTTTATAATAATTAATAATGTCTCTTGTAAAGAGCAAAACAAGGTAAAAAAAGGATTGGATACCAATCTTTATTCGATTTGTGTGTTCTGCACTCCCCAACAAGTATATAGATTTGAAAATATACTCTAGAGAGCGATTAGGAGAAGTGACAGAGATTAGGAGAAGTATACATTTTAGTTAATAATAAATACATATATGGCTGCCGTTGAGCATTTCGATAGAACAATATTCCCTTGTTTGTATTCTCAATATATACCGTCCAAAATTAGGTAGTTTCAAGTCAAACGCGCTTCCTTAAAATTTTTCTAGTTACTAATGTGTATATATAGAAAGCTGATCCAGAACAAGACCAAACTCTATGCAAAAATGGGGTGACTGCCGTCAAACTGCCACAAAAAAGAAAGCCCTCGAGATTTTCGAATAGAAACAAAGTTCTTTTATGTATATGCACAGGTGTGAAACGAAAGTATTACTACAAAATAGAATAGAGAAACGGGATGCAGCATCTACTATGGAGTTATTATGCCTGGAAATGGATAGCTTCAATATATATTATAATATATATATATATTGTCCGACTTGAGAGTGATGTGCGAGGCATACAGATCGATAATAAACAGGGCTTCCGTTGGATGTATCCAACAATAAATATCTTTCATGATTATCTATTTTTTCGTAACTGAATTACTAATACCTTAGAGACAACACTACCTAAAGTATATACTGAATCTCTAGTGTAATTAATAAATAATTATAATTATAATAATAAACAAGAAGAAATCATGCTACACATTTATATACGCAAATCAGCTGAAATATATAATTTTAATTCCGTTTTGGAAAATATAATTCGATGTAATCTAAATATTTCCAAAATAATTTATAAATAAATAAATATATCTACTAACAAAATGTGATTTTGTTTTTCTTTGTTTCTAGAGCAACGTCGGGGACAAGATATAGCAGAAAAAGCCATAATTATCCACAAATAAATGTTTGACTAAAGGATCTTTATGAGCCAACATACATTTTTTGTTGTTGTAATCTCAATAGAAGCTTCGTTGAACTCTCCAATTAGATTTATAGAACCAAACTGAATAGGTTTCCAAAAGCTCTAATAGAAGTTTTAATATATAGCCTAATTAAGAATGTACAATTGAAGTCGGACATTTCATAAGCTATATATTTGAAAGATCAGATCTTTGCTCATTGCTCTAGAGAACAATCCATAATTATCCATAAATATGGAAATATGGAAAGCCCAACTCAACAGTAAAACTGCATAATTAAATACATTTTTTTTAAAGGTTTACTTTATTGTTTTACTTTTATTATGAATATAGTATTTGAATGTTTTTTGTTTTGTTTTTGTGTGTTTTTATTTTTCATGTTTTGTTTTCCTGGATTTATTTTTGTATTGTTTTGTTTTGTTGTATTTGTATGTCGCCTCATTGCACTAAAGACCATTGTTGCCGTCTTTTTCCTTCCTCTTGCCTTCTCTTTCAGCGCCGCGCCGCCTATTGCCATCTCTTTTCCCTTCGAACTCACTTAAATGCGAAATTAAAAACAAATATATATGTATAAAGAAGTAGAACAAAAAACACATATGTACATATGTACGTAGCAAAAAAAAAAAAAAATAAACATAAACAAAATGCGGCTTACACACTCCTGGCTTACAATTAATTACACAAAAAAAGAAAGTTAAATACAAAGTTTTACTCTTCGCTACTCTCGGTGTTGGTTTTGTTGTTTTTCGTTTTTGGACAACTCCTTTATGCAAAATATATATTTATATATATATATATATCGATTTATGTAAATATATATATATGTTACTATATAGGCGCATATTATAAATATATATTTTATATATTACAAAGTTAATTGCTTTCATTGTTTACAATTCTCTCTCTTAATCTTGCATGGTCTCTTTTTCTTTTTGTTTTGTTATAAATTTAAAGCAGAAATAGCAAGATCCCTATTTATAAAATAAGGTTTCAGTGTATTTACTCTGTCGCTGGATAGCATTTTTCTTTTTTGTAAAATTACAAAATTGGTAAACAAAATGAATCGAGAAAACTCGAATTAAAATGCTTCGCTTAATTACAATAGGGGGAAAACTCAAATACTCTCCTATATATATTAATATATAATAAAAATATTACAAAAAGGTAATCGAATTATATAAAAAAAAAGGTGGTAGCCCGAAACGAGGACTATCTTTCGACCAAAGAGTACTTATATAAGCGAATTTATGAAATGTTTACATAGTTTTCAGCTCTTCCCTTCGTTCCTTCAATTTTTGTTTTGCTTTCTCGTTAATATTTATAATTGATTGAGTTTTTTTTTGTTACGTGACTTAATTACACTTAATTGCTGTTGTTGGAGTTGGCGGCGGCGGAGTTGTGATTATTCTGGTCCACGCTGTCCATGTTGGGCACATAATCCAGCGCCATCATGCAGGCGAAGACGGTCATCACCATTTTGGGCTTCACCTCAGTGATGTCCTCGGGCAGAGCGTAGACGCGGGCACCGATCTTACGGGCCATGGATATGGCATACTTGGCATTGGCCAGATTATCCTTAAATTATGATTTAAATATTAAAACATTATTCCTTAAGTACCAGACTAGTTAGCTTAGGATACTTACCTCCTGGGTGCCGCTGGTGCGCACCAATTCGTAGTTAATGCTGCCCTCCTTGATGGCATCAATCAGATCGATCACTATCTTGCCATCCGCAATGGCCGGATCGTTGAAGTTACGTAGCTGTGACTGCTTGCCAGCATCCGCCAGACGATTGTTCACCCATTGAACGATCTCCTTCTCGATGATGGGATTGCCCGTGTTGGCCAAGCGAGACAGAATAGACAAGGTGTAGGCGCGCATCAGCTGCCAGATGAGAGCTATAACGCATAAAATTAACAATAATTAATTATTATATCTATTAAATGTTATATAAAAATAGGTGTTTATGCCTTACCCAGAGTCAACGTTGCGTTGCCATCATTCAGATCCTGACCAGCGATTCCGACCAGCGAAAATTTCAGCTGCTTGCCCAGATCCACAGCATAATTGCAATTCTCCAGCTTCTCCATGAACTTGCGCAGCGGCGTGAACCTCTTGTGCACCTTGCTCCAGTTCACAATGCCCGGCTTAATCACATCAAAGAGCTGGAAGATGACCAGGCCATCGGCCAGGTCAGAGTAAAGCCAGTTTACATGCGGTGACACGCCCATCGAGTTCATCCAGTTGCGGTAGGCTGGAAATAAATGGAACACACAGGATATAAGTTATTTATTTCATTGGGAGTCTTTAACAACAAGAATCTAGGTACAACAAATATTTTTCCTCTACGTCATTTTAGCTTTTAAATGTTGTCATTCCTATTGTTTATAATTATGCTATTTTTCCTCACCGCTTCTAGTACGTGTTGTTCTTTATAAAAGCTATCCTTGACGTTGTCATATAGAATATTTCTTGAAAACTATGTTTGTCAGGTTTCTTAGACATTCTATATGTATATATATATTTTTTTGGCTCGTGTTTGATAATAACAAATATACGTTGCTTGTGTGAAACAAGTTTAAGAGCAACGAAGCGAGTAAAAGAGTTTCAGTTTGCTTCGCGATAAGAGAAACTGATTGTATGATGCGGGTTGGGTGTGTGTTTCCCAAAAAACAAGTGGAAAATATAATCAAAAAACAGCAGTAAAAGCTGATTAACATTTTTTTAACCGAAAGAAAATGTAATGAACAAGAAGCTCTCTGGCGCTGGGCTCTATTGAATTTTGAAATATAAAAAGAGAGAGAGTGAGAGCTCAAGGATTTTTGTATGAGCGTTATGCTTATTTTCCTTAGTTTGAACTCTCTCTCTCTCTCTCTCTCTCTCTCTCTCTTTCTCCTGCTCTGACTGCTCTTAAATACTCACTCTTCTCCTCGCGCGTCTCCTCAATAGACTCCAATCCCTCAATCTGCTCGGGCTTGTCCAGGCCAGGATGATTGTTAAACAGATTGGCCACAAAGGCCAAATTGAGTTTGTAAACGCCATTGACCACATCCTGTGGCGTAAGGAAGCTACGGCAATTGAGCTTAGCAGCCTGCTGCAGCATAATCTCCGCTCGCTGCTGAAGATCCGCCTCGCGCAGAGCATCCAGATTTACGTCCGCATCATTGCCCGCAATCTGCTTCAGCAGATGCGAGTAAATCTCCGAGTCGACAATGTCCGACTGGAAGTTGGTGCAACGCCTCGAGATGCCGGCACGCTCCAAATGATGGTTAACCCATCGCAAGAGAATGGCCTCCGGTGACATTTTCATCAGATCCTCCAGACGCTCATTGTCGAACAGCAGACCCGCCAGTCCCGGACAGCTGTCCAGGGTGATGTGGCTAAAGAGACCGATGCGGATGATCTGCCACAGCAGACCCAGCACCAGATGGGGCTTGCCCTTGGCCAGATCGTGGGCATCGATGTTAACGATATTGCAACCAATTGCCTGCGAGGAGACCAGGGCCAAAGTCAGATTCTCAAACTCCCGGTACACCGTCAGACTCTTCTTGTTAATCGCCCGCTCATCGATTGTGTCCGGGCAGGAGTGGTTGATGATCTTGCACAGCAGGATGCCATCCTTGATGCTCAAATACAGACGCTTGCCCTCGCTATCGATGGGCAGCAGATGCTGCAGATCCTTGTCGTGTCCCAGATTCGAATTGATCCAATCGGAGAAGGCCAGCTGCTCCTCAAGGCGCACCGAATGGGTGGTGCCCTCCGACGATATGCTCGACATACCGCCTAGAGTCTCCAGATTCTCCTTCTTAGACACCACCGTCTTGAATGTGCTGGCAACATCCTTGCTCTTGAGGTCCAGGCACAGCGTTTCAAACTCCTCCAGATTCAGCTTACCCTGATGGGCGGTACGCTGCTTGCTTTTGAACTCGTCGATCATCTCGCGGACCTGGTAACCGGCCAACTTGAAGCCAACCTGATTGAGGGCATCCTTAAGCTCGTGCAGGTCAATGAAGCCATCCTTGTTGGCGTCCAACTGAAGAGTAACAGAGGATAAGGGTTAATATTTATTTATTTAAGTTTCCCCATGAACCTTGCTCTTTAAATATTCATTTACTCACAAAAATAGTACTTCTCTGGCTTATTTTATTCAAGCAACTCATATTTAAACCATGAATAAACACTTTTGACCCTTTCTCAAAAAATGCTAATATTTGAGCCCAAAAATAGAAACACTTGAGTGGCAGAGAAGAGAGATCTCTATGAGTAATCCTCACCGGTCATGAGTGAGTCGATCGGTCGGTCTGTGAGTCATCAATCAAATCCAGATTGCAAACACACATCCGTAGAGACTCTAGTGCCTTCACATTATCGCTGGAATGTTTATGAAAACAACAATAACAACAGCAAAAAAAATTGAATTTCCATCTCACGCGACCTTATCACCAAAGTCGTTCGGTGTCTGTATGTCGGCCTTATCGGCTTTAATTTGCATTCTTTTTTTTTCTAGTTCCTGGGGAACTATTCTTCACCTGACTGACTGACAACATAGTATCGCTGAATATCAGCTATTGTTTGGTTTGAAATTAAACATTCAAGAGGCGGTAAATAATAAAGAAACAAAGTGCGAATATCTATCTAAACAAATTTTATATAAATCATTTGATGATTCAGTGGGAAAATACTTGAAATAGAGGGATTCATTAGGATTTACTCAAGATATTCAGACTGTATTCAATGAAATAATGCAAAGTGTATATACATATAATTTATAAACCACGATGGTTAGTGGACTAGAAATTTTTGCTAATTTCCCATGAACCCAACCCATATCCGCCACAATATAGGGAAAAACAAATATTTAGCTGGGCGCTCTCTTTTTTCCTCGTGTGCCGCTCATGGAAATCGAAAAGACCCCAAAAAGCGCGAAAAGTGGGGAGTTGGGTTGATACTGGACTGTGGAATTTATAGGTGGTCTCAGCGGTTGTACTGGTAGTGGTGCGTTGATTGCTCCGCTTGGCCTGTTTGCCGATAAGATAAACTTGTGTGTGGCAAAAATAAAAGAAAAACGAACATAGAATCGAACACAGCACTCGATTATGTATATGGTAATGATATCAGTGGGTGGTGGGAGCCATAGGGAGATAGAGACCCCAAAAGTCCTTGGACAAAAGTGGAATGTGGCGATCTGGTTATCAAAAAGGGAGTAGGGAGACTATGACTGACGTCCAACGGAAGTGATTTTCGCTATTATTGCTATTTCTTCTTTTATTTTGCGTCAGTGTGAAGTTAAAGCTCGGGTCACCTGCCTTTATCGAAGGTGTTCTTCACTGCAAAAGGCCCGCTTTTTGGCCATTTGTATGCGTGTCGGTTCTTGTCTGTGTTATCGATTAAAAGTCCATAAAATGCTCCGGGAAACAGCGATATGGCGGCAATCGAAAAGCACAGAACCACACACACGAAAGTTGAGAGGGAGCGCGATTACGTGAATCGTGAGTAATAAAAAAAGAAACCCATTCAACACTACAGTCGAACTTCCATAAATCAATTTCGCTAACTTCCGTTCTATGTAATTCCATAAATCAAGAAGTAAGGCAATATAAATTTAAAGATCTATCGATGCTGCTCGATCATAAATCGATATTTCTATATTAAAACATTGAAAACTGATCACTTTCACCTTTACCAATATCAAGTATATTCAAAAATTATTTATAAATCAATTCATGTTTCAGATATAGGCACCAAATTGTATTGTCGATTTCAATATCACTATCAATATTTTATTGATATATAGAATTCGATATCGATATTCTATTTATAAATGGATTTTGCAAGGTTTAATAATAACACATTTCCAAAAAATGAATGTAAAAAAATACTAAGGTTCTAGATTTTAGTTTATCAATGTCAGCTTTAGCGATTATCCACTGTAACTGCTATGCTAGCGCCACCTACGTCGGGCAACTGCTCCTCGAGATTCAGCTTGAACTCCTCGATCGTCTGATGTTGCTGGATGTCGATAATATCGGCCATTATTTTTCAATTGATTTGCGCACGAAGTTAATTAAGATTTTGTTTATGTTACGGCACGGATTCCTTCTTGTTGAACAACAAAAAAAAAATAACCAATTGATTTAAACACACGCGCACACACACTATACACGGCACACACTTTAAGCGAAAACCAATCAATTGAAAGAGAGCAAACAAGATCGAAAGAGAGCGTTCAAGGATTTTGCGAGTGTTGCCTCTAGGTAATTAATAGAATCCTTTGTTTCTGCTAATCCTTAATACTCCTTTCCTGGTGTAAGCTACCGACAAGCTCGTTCTGGTTACTAAACGAGCGGTGCAGTGTGGCCCACTATTTATGCCTTTTCTTTTATCAGAAAAATATATAAAAAAAACTACCAATCGAACAGAGTCTTTATCAGTGAGAAAGAGAGTAATGAAAAGAGCAAGAGAGTGGTAGAAGAACACCTTTGTGAGAACGCGTCATCCTGAATAGTAACAAATAAGACCATAAGCACATTATTGAAAATTAGTCAGTGATAAACAGTACTTTAATACATTTGTATATACATATAATATATAAATTAAACCAATTTTTAATGGCCAATTCTTTGTAATTTTGTGCTTCTAATCTCCACTACCAAAAACTTCTAAACGCTTTTCTAGAGCGAACTGATAACACAGGTTGACAAAAAAAAATAAAATAAAAGAGAGAACGTTAAAGTCAAGTGCCACGACTATGCGATAACCGGGACTCACCAATATTTTTTACTAGGACTTTACATTTTATTAAGAAACACAAGAATTTTATATAAAACATTTAAATGGAGATTTTCACAAGACTAAAAACTATAGAATTTTAATTGAATCAGGCCCGAAAAAAAGGTATGAACCAAGTTGACCTGTGTAATTAACCCACAGTAGCGATCCAAGCAAGAATTATATAAACAACTTTACTCTTTTCAAGTAAAACAAAGATATTGAACTAGGTCAAACTAAAGAACATAATATTTATAATATAAAGGATACGTAAACGTTATCCATTAAAACCTGAACAATTTAAAAGGATATGCTAATCAAAACCCATCAAAAAATAGTAAATAAAAATAATCAATTCATTAAAAAATACCCGATCAATGAATGACTAATTTAGTCGAAGCAACTCACATCTTGTAAATAAACAACATATGCTACAAGGAAATGAATACTCATTCATACATATACTCATGTTCATATGTATTCCCGTTGAGTCACAAGTTAATCTACGGTTTCTCCCTTGACTTGGCAACCCTGTTCGCAACATACTCAAGTGTCCACATGAAATACATTTTAAAAGAAATCGCTTACGCATCGCAAAAGTTTTCGACTAAATGCAATACCCGTACAGGTAAAAACTTATTGAAAGAGATAAAGGTAAGGTAAGGTAAAAACCACCAAAAAATAAAATGAGAGAGAGCGAGAGAGTCAAAGAGCGGGACACGCAATTAAACGTAATTGGTTTTTTAATAGGCATTGTATCAGCAAGTGAATTATGTGCCAAGTGTCATTTCTGTTTAGTTATAACTTGTCGAACATAAATCTAATGCCCCCAGGCCAAGATAATGAAAGTTTGAGCAATGCGATAAGACAAGGAAATGCGACAATAGAATTTCTTTAGGACTTCCTCTACAACATAATTGTATGTGGTCTTTATATTACCTCTTTGGGTTAATTAGATTGCAAAAAATATCTATGGCTTATAATAAATAGATAAAATATTTAAAGTCAAACTGAAATATATATGTATTTTCCCCCATGCAGTCATACATAATAGTCACCAACGGGAGTCATCGTTGAAATGGACGAGATGACTAACCCCTCCGGCTGGACATACAAAGACACTTGACTGTTGTAATTGTTGGCCACTCCCAACAAGGTCCACGTTTTACCGAAACATATTGTAATAAAAAAAACTGCAACAACTGTTATACTATGCATATACCATTATGCAATTAATAATTGTCATTTTTATTGCAAATGCAGCTGTTTTAGATATAAAGGTAATGAATACTCGAGGGGATAGTAATATAGGTAATATATTCAGAATCAATATGTCCTTCTTAATTAAAACAAAATCTTTAAAAATACATATTAAAATTAAGTTTTTGAATGTGGGCATCAAGGAAATAAAGTTTGCTTTGAAGTTATCAATTTGTAAGTTACTCAAGTGTTAGTTTATGAATCAGAACTATATCCTTTACAATTTCAAGGGTATACAGACTTTGGCCTCGTCTCCTTTCTGGTTTTGGGATTGTTTTTTTCTGCAAACTCAGAGACAGGGTTTGTTGAACTCTGAACGCCATTTACCTTTTACGGGCAGCGCGTTGTTGGATTGTTTGTCACTTCGTTTTATCAGCTTTTGCCATTTTCGGGTTTCACTTGGCCCCCAGAGGAGAAGGAGAAGTGATAGAGAGAGGGGAGAGAGAGGGAGAAATCGGGGGGAAAATGGATATGGTTATGGATATGGAGGGTATGGTATTGTATGGTATGGTTGGGTATGGTATGGTGTATGGTATGGTGTATGGTATGGTTTGGGGTTTGGTATGGTAAACAGAGACACTGATGATTTAGTGTCTCATTGCTAATATTTACCCCATTTTTTACAAATGCTTATATATCCACATGTACATATATACGTATATATTCAGTATCCCCGATTTTCCATTTGACTCGTTTTTTTTTTCTTTTGTATCGCTGATGAACTGTAAATTTGTCATAATGAACTGCACCGTTGACTTTCACAGCAGATCCCCCCTTATTGGTCGCGTGCTCTACACTTGACGAAACACTGTTGACTCAATGGATATTAATGGATATGATGGGGTAATAGATATCTCAAATAAGGGAAACTAGTTTATTAGCCAAATTAAGAGCTGCCTTTAACCGCAAACATTTCGGTTCACTTGCATTTCAATTAATTAAAGTTATCAAAAGCCACGACTATGAAATACCCAGCAAAAGGTGAATGTTTATAAGTGTATATCT